GATTTCTCCGTCTAAGTGGTCACGGACAACGGTACCGTCGACGGACATGTCCTCATAGGACCTTGAGATATGCCTGATGCATAGAACATGTAGTTACATGCATCATTGATACTTATATCCAGCCCCAAGATGACTTTTTGTTCGGTATCTCAGCACATTCGCCGAAGGCATTTCGCTGCAGCTTGAACATTACCACCCGCTTTTCCGCTTCAGCAAAACCTTTTCCGCCCCGAAATCCATCCATCGCCATGCTCAACCTCCAAGGAAAAGTCGCCCTGGTCATCGGCCTCGGCCAATCAGGCACAGACGGCTGGGGCATCGGCGCCGCCTGCGCCGTGACCTTCGCCGCCCAAGGCGCCGCAATCTTCGGCGGCAACCGCACCATCGAATCCACCACCAAGACTCAAACCACCATCGAGCAAGCCGGCGGCGTATGTGACGTCGTCGTGACCGACGCCACGTCCTCCGCGTCCGTCAAGGGGCTCGTGGACGCGTGCGTCGCGAAGCACGGCCGCATCGATATTCTGCTCGCCAACGTCGGCGGTTCGCAACCGGGTTGTGCGGCAAGTATGGAAGAAGAGACGTGGGATGCGCAGGTGGAGTTGAATCTGAAGAGCGTGTATCTCGCGTGTCACCACGTTCTGCCTGTCATGGAGGCGCAGGAGGGGGGTGGAAGTATTGTTTGTGTGTCGAGTATTGCGGGTTTGCGGTATATTGGTAAGCCGCAGGTTGCGTATAATACGACCAAGGCGGCTGTGATGCAGTTTGTCAAGGCGACGGCTGTGGTGTATGCGAAGCGAGGGGTACGGTTGAATACGGTTGTGCCTGGGTTGATGGAGACGCCGTATACGAGGCAGTTGGCGGAGAGGTTTGCGCCCAAGGACGGGCAGCCTGGTGGTGGCGGCGGGTATGAAGCGTTCAAGAGAATGAGGGAGGAGCAGGTGCCGATGGGACGGATGGGGGATGCGTGGGATGTTGCGAATGCGGCGGCGTTTTTGGCGTCTGATGAAGCGAGATATATCACGGGCCAGAAGATTGTTGTTGATGGGGGGATTACTTCGTCTACGGGGCGTACTTAGAGTTGCAATTCATAATATTATGTACAAGTACTGTATCACTTAAGACCTTGTCACGCAGGATCGAGAAGTCGTTTCTGCGACCTGAGGGAGTAGTTCCAAGACCGAAGTCACATCAGAAATGATAATATGGGCCAGCGCAAACATACCACTTTACGCGCTTGTACAACATAAGTTAAACCTCATTTAATGGTATTGATGAGAATATTATGCTTGAGCTTGGATTTCTAACAAGTCTATATTCTAACTACGATCCGACCTGTATGTGGACGCCAGTCTTCTTAGTCTACGCCGACCCATTTGCCAGCCCTTTGGCCATAAACTCGCACATATACTCGTCCTCCTGATCAACCTCAAAGTCAAATCTGGTTACATCCTCCTTGAAAGGCCACAAATATGTACTCGTTACTCTATAAAGTTGCGAAAGATTTCCTTGGTTCAGCTTCATATTCGTCTCGAGGCTCCTTAAAGCAAACGCGGGGTGAGCTGCTTCTTACCTGTGATGCTCCGGACTAGCTTGATACGTCTCCAGCGCTTCTCGATCTTGATGAAAGCTCAGTAGCGCAAAGTGGTAGCCTTTGCTCCTCTCGATGGGATCCGTGATGGAGGGCCCGCCGACGATGAGGCGTTGGTCTTTGACGCAGGGGAGGGATTTGAGGGTTTTGAGTTCGCGGACGAATGTGGATTTGTGGTCTTCCGAGACATCGGAGCGGAACTTGAATAAAACTTCGAGGGGATTAAGATTAGAATTTGTTTCGATGGTGTGAGGCGTGGGAAGCAAGTATTGGGGGGTTACCTATGTGGACGACTGTCATTGTAGACGTGTTGCGAGTGGACGATGTAGGCTAAGTCCTTGAGTTTCTTCTTTCGCTGGAAAATTTGATATCGTCTTTGAAAACCGGGAGTAAACGCCGTGGTACTGATACGTTTGGATATCTAATAATTCAGTCAACGGTCCTGTGGTTGAATCAATTCCAGACCGAGTTGCATTGTGCCCGGTGGGAGGACACTAACGGGCGAATCCCGCGACCTTAGCCCACAGGCTCCACGTACTGAACGGACGAACCCCGTAGCAGCGGCTTTGTCGACGGGCCTCCACTCCGTGTAAGTCATTCAATTGACGACATGAAAATGCTGAATTGTGTATCAAAAAAAGGACTGAAGAATCAGAATTTGGTGGTCAAGATAGGTTGAATTCCACTTCGGTACGCTAGGCGGGGAGAGATGCGAAACCCCTTAGAAGATGGGCACTTTCGCCCCGTTCTCAGGCAGCTCCAGATCATGGGACCAACCACCTCCGTCACAAGCGCACGGAGTACTGATACACCTCAGAGCATTCTCAGCCGGTTAGATCATTAATTGCTCACTGTTTCCTCCGAGACTACACAGAAGCATACCACTCTAACACCCTCTCAGTCGGGGAAAAAGTTTACACCTTGGAGTCCTTCTCGCTAGAGACCTCGACATGCATCATGTCGTCTCCTTTGATGTCTTGAACGCTGCCAGAGTCCGTCTCGGTCGTCTTGTACTTCCCCTTCTTAATATCGCGACGCCACAGGTACTGTCCAAGCATGAAGAGAGTCCACCAGATGGCCACGAACGTGGTATTGACAGTGAAACCTTTCCGCCATTTGGGAGCTAGATGGAGGAGTTGAGATATCAGCATGATTTTTTCCAATTGCTTGGATATGGTGATGGTGTATAGTCACTTACCCTCTAGCTTTGGGAAGACCGTGATTGGGTAGAAGCTGAAGAAGATCCAACCGCAAGTCATCTGAGCGAAGAGACTGTTAGCAGGCGGTTCCGACAATGGCGGATGTGGATGATGTAGTCTGGTGCCTTACCATGGCACCAGTAGTGAAGGCTCTGGCTTCGTTGTCGTCTTTCATAATCATGTTGATCCAAGGGAAGAAGATTGGTGTGAACTTTGCGAGAATAAGCATTCGTAATCGTGTTGTTTTACAAGTGAGCAAGGACTTACGCAGCTAGTCAATCCAAGCATGTAGTAGGCGGCAACTGTGTTCCAATGAGCAAGAAAACCCTCCATGTCAGATCGATGCAAAAGACTTACAGTGCAAACCAGTTGGAATGTCCCAAATCAGGAGACAGACGTTCGCGAAGAAGAGGATACCCGCTACGACGCACATGACGGCCCAGATAGGGTAGATCATACACAGCGAAGTGGCAACGACACCGGCCACGATGGAAATTGCTTGGACGCCAGTGGGGATGACGTTGATCTCCGCAACGGTGTAGGTGCCGTGCAGGGTGGCCTCATGCTTGAGCCAGAGTGCCATCTGGCCAGCGACATAAGAGGTGCATTGGAAGCTACGGAGATCATAGTGTCAGTCTCATACAAAGTTGGCCCGAGACACTGCTCGTGACTTACAAGACGTAGGTGAAGACGGCGAGGTAAAAGTGCCAATGAGTAAAGACGCGCTTCAGCATCCTCTTGCCAATCCTCTTGCTCTCCTTGACTCCGTCATCTCTCATCCGCGCCTGAGCAAGCTTCTGCTCCGCATCCGTGAGCCACCAGACCTTGGGACTCGTCGGCAAACCAGGGAACAGAAAGAACCCCGCAATCGAGATGGGCAAGCTTATGATGCCGTCAATGATAAAAAGCCACCGCCAGCCGGCCATGCCGGCGACGCCGTTTAGGTTGTTGTACGCCGCGGCCTGGAGGTACCCGCCAAACATGGCGCCAATGTTGGACGAGACGTACCACACGCCCGCGCGCTTGAAGAGCTCGTCGCTGCGGTACCACGAGGTTAGGAGGTAGATTGCGCCCGTGGCGGCCGGGGTCTCGAGGACGCCGAGGAGAAAGCGGATACCGTAAATGTCGTACTCGTTGCGGAGCTTGCACTGAACGAAGGTCGTGATGGACCAGAGACATTCCATTGCGGGGAGATACCAGCGGGTGAGGTGTGGGCGGGAGATGATCATCATGGAGGGGATCTCGAAGATGAGGTAGCCGATGTTGTAGAATGTTCCGAAGAGCGAGTATCTGGCAAAATTGATTAGACACAAGCAGACTGGGGGGCAGTAATATCAACTGGAGGCTCACTTACTGGTTTCCTGTAAGTTTCAGGTCCTCTTCCATGCCTGAGACGTAGGCGTGGTTGATATTGGCTGAGTCGAGCCATTTCAAAAAGACTGCTCTCATGTTAGTGTTTACACGAACAGACAGGTTGACAGCAAAGTCATACACATCAAACAGCACAGGAAGAGAAGAATACTGTCTGCTCAGAACCGTCATTAGCATCTACTCAAACATATGGATGAGTGGAACTGTACCAAGCTTTCGAAGCAACTTCTTCTCTTCCTTGGAGTAGTGGCTGGGGTACCAATCAAAGATGTAGAGCCAAGCGACCCACAATGATCTCGTCTGTGGCTTGGGCGTCGAAGAGCTTACAACCAGCTCTTGGTCATCGAGAGGCTTCATCGTGGCAGCTGGATTCGCATTTCGAGCAGTCCTATCGAGACTGACTCTATCCGCCATGGTGGGCTGCAATCAGATCCCTATGAGATTGAGAGGCAGTCCAGGTTGTAAATCGTTGCTGAGGTTAAGAATGGCGAGTAAAGAAATCCCGTCTCTCTGAAGATCTCAACTGTCCGAGTGAAGTTCTTGGTGATGTAACCCCACACTTTATATCACTTCGAAATAAGCCATCACTCTCAGAGCTATGTTGACAGGCTGGAGTAGTCCGCCGACGGTAGCAAAGGCCAAGCAATGTTGTCTTTGATGTCTTCCCCGCAATCCGTACCCCAGTCTACGCATGCCCGACTCTAAGAATGGGGTGTGGAGAAGTTCCTTGCGGTCGACCGCCGTACTTAGCCAACGACACTTGCTCGGAGGATTGTCCTCGGGGATGAGGGGCATCAATACCCCGACTGTTGCGTCGCAAATGGGCGGTCCAACACAGGATGCATCGCGAGGATCTTTCACCGAGATATCAGCCGCGGGACCGATTCAATGGAATAGATGCCTTCGCTTCCGACGGGCCGTTGACGTTGATGGTTTGCATCAAGGTCTTGGTGATTATCAATCATGTGATGGCTCGGGTTTCTGAAAGATGTACAAAATGACAACTTTGGCATATGTCACGTCTATCCTATGAGCAAAACATCGTTTGGAACCCCAAATTCGGATTTTGAAGCAAAGAAGTATTCAGCATGGCCGCTTCTGTTACGAAAAGCTTGCCGGCCATGACAAAGCACGCCCACTCTCAGGATGCCGTTGTGGACAAGCTGTCTACGGTTCCGCGTCCCGACAGCATGTCTTCCGAACCACCTCATTCAATATCAACTCTGCCACCAGAAGAGCTGTCTGCAGACATCACCAGTGAAACCTCGTGGTCTGATGCCGCGGTAGAAATAAGCGAATGGCCAGCCTTCCAACCATCCATATCGCTCTCTACCTACCTCGCCGAATTGTTCGAAGAGAATATCACAGCCAAAATCTGCCGCACCGCGACCAAGTCTCTCCGAGAGCAAGTATCCTCAACTTTTGGCGAGATTCGGAAGATCCCGATCGCCTTCCCAGAGATCGTACCCCAGAATGGCCCCAATGCGGGCCAGTACGAGTTCCGAGATCCAGAGTTCTGGACCTGCGGGTTCTTCCCGGGAACGCTGTATGCCCTATTGGAGCGAAGCGTCAAGCACCCGCAAATGATGGGACTCGCCAATGCCGGGCCCGGGCTCAGTGTCGCCAGTCTCCGCCAGCATCTGCGGGGACTATGCGAGATCTGGGCCGATCCCTTGCACGACATGGCCGGCCGAACGGACACGCACGATATCGGATTTATCATTATGCCAGCGCTGCAGAGGGACTGGGAGCTAAATGGTAACGAGAAAAGCCTCGCTTCCATCGTCAGGGCTGCGCATTCTCTCGCAACGCGTTATGTCACCGCCGCTGGAGCTATTCGCAGCTGGGACTGCCTCTTGAAGAAGGACATCACAGTGACCGACATGACGACGAATCTCCTCGCAATCATTGACAGCCTATGCAATCTGGACCTGCTCTTCTACGCTGCAGCACATACTGGCGACAGTACCCTCTCCGACATCGCCACAACGCACGCCCGTACACTGTTACACACGCACCTCCGACCAGAATCCGTGAGCACGCTGAAGAAAAACGGATACAGAGGTCAGCTCTATTCAACATGCCACGTTGCCAATATCGATCCGGCTACCGGAGATCTCAAGTGGTGCTGGACGGCACAGGGATACGCAAACGATTCCACGTGGGCCCGTGGCCAGGCGTGGGCGATCCTGGGGTATGCTCAGACCTACCAGTGGACTCGAGACAGAGCTTTCCTCGAGGCTGCCATGGGTGCTGCAGAGTACCTCCTTTACAGGCTCGATACGGCGCCGTCGTGTGTGGATACACCAGTGGCTGACGAGGAGACGAACTGTTGCTCTCGAGATGGGCAGCGAAAGAAGACCAAAGGCCGAAGAGTCCCTCTTTGGGACTTTGATGCCCCGATACAAAACGCCGCGGAGCCTCTGCGAGATTCATCGGCCGCGGTGATTGCTGCTAACGGCATGTTGGTGTTGTCACAATCACTCAAAGGCATTCAAGAACATGCCTTGTCGCGGCGCTTCTTCGACGCGGCGGTTGAGATCGTCCGAGACACCCTCGATTACTCACTCGCAGATGAAAAATCTCAGTTCACCAGAGCTAGCAGCGAGGCGGGATTGGAAGTGGAAGATGCCATCGCTGGCCGATGTTTCGATGGCATCATCAAGCACGGAACGGCCAATAACAACGAGAATGCTAGACGAAGATACTGGAATCATGGCCTCGTTTACGGTGATTACTATCTCGTTGATTTTGGAAACAGGCTTTTGAATATCGGTTTGGCGTAGAGTGTTAGTGCTGTTTCCCGATTATAGACCTGGCTTACTTTAAACCAATAGAGACTCTTGCTTTTTACCATCCTCCACCATCGTATTCAGTTTCGAAAATGCCGTCATCATAGCTGATGATTCTATCCATGTCCATGAATTGCTGGTCAAGGAGCATCTGGGAAATATTGCTCAAATCGCCACTACCGACGCTGCTTCTGTGGTACAGGGAGGGCTGGGCCATCGGCTCAGCGCCATTGACGCCGAGCCCTGGGGTTAGGAGCATTGCGCTCTGCGTTGGATTGGTAAATGATGCGGGAATGTTGGATGGGAGTGGTTGAGCCACGACGATGGTGTCGAGACTACCTGTAGCGGGCTCGACCTGTGTATCTGCGAACCGCCTGTTTCGTCTATTGGTAGTGGTTCCCTCATGTCTCCCGGTCTCATTCCGTCTGATGTGGGCAGACAACGGAGGCTCCTGAGCAGCTGTGTGATCGATTTCTGTGGTGTAGCCTAGGACGTTGATGTTGAAAGTTGCATCATCGCGGCAACGTAAATGCATCTCCGTGAGCTTCCTCGAATACTTCCCAGCCAAGTTGTCTCTCGCAGGCTCTAAGCTGTGCGGGCCAGCCCATCGCGTCGCCATATCATTCACAATCTGAACCAGCGACCAGAACTCGGAAGCCAATTCAGTCCCGAGATCATACCGCCATTGAAGGAGGAGCACTCTGGCGGCCACATAGATACAGAACACAAACTGGCTCGAAACAGGCATCACCGCAGGCGCGTGCTTCAAGTAATTCTCCGCAATGATAGCAATCTCCACGGCGGCGGCCTGGCACGTGTCCGCGCTCAGAATACTCGGCAGCCGGGCCCTGAAAGGCCACTCCCTCGGAGGGAAGGCAATCAGCTGATGGAGCAGAATCATGGACGTATTGTGCGTGACGTGCGCCAGCGTGAGGTTGGGATCCATCCGCGTCGACTGCCGCGCCATATTGGCCTTCCATTTCTGGGGCAGGAGCATCTTCCAGTGGACCAGGCGCAGGTCGAGCTCCTTGAAGCGTGTGAGCCAGCTACTGATGTCGCGTTGGTCCCGCATGTTGATCTTTTGCTGAAGGAAGTAGCTCGTGACCCTGCTCAGGGACTCGGTCGCCTCGATGCAGTAGGCAAAGGCGCCGACGGTGGACATGTCGACGTTGGCGGCCGGCGCCCCCGGTGACGTGCCGGCGTCGGAGGGCGTATGGGTTTCTTCCTCTGAGGCACCTACTTGCAATGCCGGCGCGTAGTGGGACGGGATGAAGGCGATGGGGTTGCCTATTCTGCCGGCGGCTTTGTCCCATATCCCGAAGTAGGGTGTCACGACTTCGTCTTCTTTACGCCAGAGAACGCCGTCGCAGGGGAGACGGCAGTGCACGTCGTCTGAGGTTAGACTTGTGTTCCAGCCCATGGTGACTGAGATGAGTCTATCGAGCTTGAAGACGTTCCAAAAGACCCGGCGCCTCTCTTCGGCCTCGGTCCAGCTTTCTGGCGGAGCGAGTGAAACGAAAGGTTGAGATAGTGATGGCCGGTCGACGTCGTCGTGTTCGACGGTGAGTTGGAGATACTCGACGGTCCGGGTCAGTGAACCAACGAGAAACCAGGCTTTTGCAGCCTCACCACTTCCAATCTATCTATGTCAGCGCGTGCCATGCGAGAAGATTCGGATATCGAAACACCTACATCGTTGAATGCGACAATGATGAGAGCTTGGTGGCTTTCCACGTCGAACGTTTTCATCGATGTTGACACGATCCAATCACGGGTAATGCCTCTTTGCTGGAGCGTGCCGAATAAGTTGGTCGCAACATCTTCGTCAGATATGTATCTTGACGCAGAAAGGACCATGGCATGTAATACTGCAAGCAAAAGTTTGGCTTCTCCGGGCTCTCGAAGTCGACGGCGGAATCTCGCCTCGTGTATAATCGGAATCCATGGATGAATGTGTGCAAAATAAGCCTTGAGTACAATCTCAAGGTCCTCTTCATCTGGCAAGACAGGCGAAGTAGGGCTGGAATTACACGTGAAGGCAATATTTAAAGGTTCATGATCATCAAGTCGACGCCGCTTGGCTCGTACTGGTGACTCGGTCTCCGCACGCTCTTCGCTGGGTGAGCTTCCGCTTTTAGTGTTGAACTTTTGTAGCTCTTTGGCGAAGAATGCCATGATGCTATATGCATTCTTTTCGAGGCCGCCATTGGAGCCACTGGCATCATCTTGATGGGGTGAGTGATTTGAAACGGATTGTCTGCAGTCTTTTGATGAATTCTTAGTCCGTTGTTGGTGAACAGTCCTTTCTAACGCATCTTCGACGCTGTGATCAGTAACGATCAAAGAAGGGCAACTCGGCATATCGAGACGAACCAAGTCTCCGATGCAGGTTCTCAATGGCCCCAGCCTTCATCCCCGGCTTGGACCGTTTCGATTCATAAACACAATCGCTTCCTATCGCAAGTCAACTCCTGGAAAGAGGAAGATTCATAATCTGCACGGTAGGAAAAAGGGACCCACCTGTCTTGCGGCACTGCTGACATGTTGGCACCTCTCGGGAACATCGCAGCTTCCGGCGCCGGCAACAGTTGCAAGCGAGGGCCGCCGCAGCCTCCGAAGCGCCCCCCGAGTCATCGTGGCCCGCATCGGCGGCTTCGCCCTGGTGGCTCGGCTCAGTACCGTTATCCATGATTAGGCATTGGTCGGGTGTAGATCATGGCGCCAAGTGTAGGCTTTAGTTCCTGCGACTTACGCGTGAAGTAGAGCGGAGGCTGGCATAGTTATGGTTCCACGGCCAATAGCCCACGCCGCCGCTCGACATAACCCGAAGACCGAGGCGGCCCCGCACCGTCTTCCCCCGCATTGTACATCGGCGGCTGCATGAGCTGGAGCTGTCCGGGGTTGCGGGGGGAAGAAAGTTGGAAACGATCAAAAAGAGACATTCTTCCCCTAGAAATGCTGGTATTTCCTCGGTCGAGCGCAATGTAACGTACAGGACCAAGTGATACGCGTCACTTCTTGCCATGTAGGCGATGACAATTGCGAAACTCCTGCTCAGTCGTAGAACCTCCACTGAGCCTCCGTGTCCGGACTCAGGGGCTGGTTCAGGAGAAGCGCTCGAAGCAACTCGATTGGCATCGTATTCGCCCTCAGGATCTTATCGTGGAGTTCCTTTTCGCCCATTACCCCTTTTGTCAGCACCTCCTCCCGCAAACCGTGCATCTGCAACGCCCCCAGCATGTATCCGGCCTGATACAACGGGGAGTAGTCGCCGCCGAACGATCTCGTGACTTCTCCCTCTGCGTTAGAACGCTCGTGACCGACCCAGTCTACCAGCAGGTCGACGCACTCTTGGGGCGTCATCTCGCCGAGGTGGTACTTAAGGGAGAAGATGATTCTCGCGCATCGGTGCATCCGCCAGAAGAGTGTTCCGATCTTGTCCTCGGGGCTCACGAAAAAGTCTCCCCGGTTCCAAAAGACGAACTCCCAATACATGGCCCAACCCTCGACGAAGAAGGGCGTCGAAAAGAGCTCGCGGTACGGATGGTGACGCTTGCCCATAAACAGCTGCAAACGATGGCCGGGTATTAATTCGTGGCTGTGGTCATGTCAGTAGTGAACGTCTCTAAAATATAAACAAAGGAATATGCTAACAATGCCGTCGCCCGTGAGAAGTGAGGGTTGTTGCCGCGCATCACCATCATCTTGAGGTCATGGTCCATGGCGGCGGTGGGGTAAGAAACCCAGAAGGAGGAGCCTCCGAGGAAGAATGGGGACTCCTTTTGACGTTCTGCGTCAATCATAAACATACGCCACGTCTCGCCTGGAGGAAGTCAGCTTGTAATTCTCGCCGAGAGGCGCACACAGAGAGACTTGCCCGCAATTTCTGGGACCGTGACCAGGTCATGCTTCTTCACAAAAGCCATGCCCTCATAGGCCAGCTGCCGCACCATCTCAGGCTGTTGACCGGGCTCAACATATGAATTCTTGACATATTCCTGCGCCGCCTTCCAGTCGTCGCCGAAGCCAGCGCCAGGAGCCTCGAGACTAGAGAAGTGAGAGTCAGTTCCTAATCTGGGGCAAAGGGCCAGTCGGCTTTACATACCCCGATACGCTCCCATGACTGCCCCCCGGTCCAACGGAGCCCACCTTGATGCTGCGTGAAGCCTTCTTCATCTCCTTTTCGCACCAATCGTACTGTTCCTGCGCCAGCTTGAGGAGCTCCTCGGGCGTGTAGGGTATCATTTCCGCTTCGAGCTCAGTGATCAGCCCGGAGCGCCCGATGGGTTCTACTGCAGCACGGATAGACCCGGACCCGTTTTTCTCAATAAGTTTGGTGTCTATCGCCGTCTTGATACCGGTGAGGGCCTCGTCCAGTTCCTTTTTAGGCGCGTCGCACCAGAAAGGGAACAGGGGGTCGTAAGGGGCGTAGAAGCTGTAGGCCTCATCCACATGGCCTCTAATTTGGTCAACGGTGCTCATAGCACGTGAGAATGTCGAGTCATTGGCCTTGATACCATTCGTTTTGATGGCCTTTGTTGTTTCAATTATGTTCTTTGCTGTCTCGTTTAGTATCATGGCCGTCTTTTTGCTGTCGACGGGAACCATGCTCTGACGAGCTTCGCATATCTCGATGAGCGGCTGGATGAATGGAAGAACCGGCTTTACCAGTTCGTCTCGCTCACGATCCAAAAGTAAGACGCGGAGATTGCGCCTCAGATAGTTGCGCAGAAGTAAGAAGTCTACCTTATCCTCTTGGCTGTAGGTATCGAACGGAGCTTTAAACAGACTGTCGAGCTCTTCATTGTAGTATCGTTCCAACCGATGAGATCTCGTGGCTGAGAACTTGATATTGTAAAACTTGTTGAGATTCTTTTCATCCGTGGTAACACGTATAATACGCTCCGGCATAAACTCCGAGATGGTTGTAGCTGCGTGTTGTTCGCGGCTGTCGCTCACATGAACCCAATCGCCGTCAGAAACGCCGCCTTGAT